TTAAAAAAGTACTTGAGTTCAAGGATGTGGTTTCTACGAATACGAGGACTCCTTTGTAGAATGCCATTTTGAAACTCGATTTTTTATATGGAGTTTTTTTACCTAATTTTTTAGAAATATATAATATCTAACATGAAAATCATGAATTAGTAAAATAAATAAATTTCAAGAATTAAAAATGATAATTTTATGAAGAAATTTGGCATTGGTGTTTACTTTTATGGAGGGACCACCTATTTGCGTCTATCTTTAATATGGATATTTCATGTCTTGGGGGATGTAATTGTAGGAATGCGTCTTCTAAGGCTTACAATAATTTTCTCGAATCAATTGACATTCAAATTTAAAAAGAGACTATGCTTAATATTAACTGGGATGATTTGACCACTTTAATGATTTTATTTAAAAGTTTACTAAATCGTTAAATTGATCGATAAATTGATATTTTTTCCAAAAATTAAAACCAAATGAAGAAATAAAATGTTTTCTAGTGCTCCAAAAGCGAAAGAAAAAAGAAAAAAGAAAAAAAAAATGACAGTAATAAATCAATGGTACGGTGTCAAAATCAGCTGGCGAAGGATGGGTGGTGGGGGCTAGGGGGTGTCAAATCTGACCCCTTTTTGTCATAGTTGGGGCTTTTGTGAGCCCAATTCGGCTCACCTACTCCACGTGGGCACATCACCCTTGATCTTAGTCAGCACATTCCATTCACAAGCCTGCCACGTGGAAGACGCCAAGTCGGATATTTGTATCCCCCTCTCCACCTTATTAACGGCCGTGGGTCCTACATCCGGATCCTCTACTCCTGGGTCCACACTTCACAAATTTTTTCCCCTAGTTGTGTATTTATTTTTATTTTATTCCCGAACTGGATCAGGATGAGGGGTCCCTTTCCATGTGCATTTCAGTCTTCTTATTCTCTCTTTCTCTCTCTACATTCTTTCTTTCTCTCTAGATGGACTCTTTCTCATTATTATTATTATTATTTTTTTTTTTTTTTTGAAGTGTAACTTTCCATCTCATTCTCTTTTTTTCATTTCCCTTCTCTTACCCTTCTCTTATTGTTTCAAGTTTTAATGGCCCCCAACCCCCACCCCCTCTCTCAATCCTTCTCTCCCTTGTCAATTGTTGGTTTCATTATATTCTTATTGTTTCTCTCTCTCATCAATTTTCACTTATTGTTTCTTCGGCCATTGAGGATAATGCGATAATGATGTTTAGTGACTTAGAGCTAAAGGTTTTTATACTTCCCCTACTGTATGGAAGATATATGGTTCTCCCTATCCAACCATTCAATTTAGATCAACTGAGCCACTGGCCGTTTGATCTAGATCTGATGTTTCAAAGTATTATATTTTTATTTTTTATACAAATTATATGAATAAGAAATTTGTTATATGACATCGTCTCAATGGGGTGCATTTAAAAAAAATATTAAAAAGAATTTTTTGAGAATATATAATAATCAAAATATCCTTTGAAACTTTTAGAAGTACTTTGATCATTTTATTTTATTGAAAATATTTTTTATTTTATTTTTTAACAGGTGTACGAGTTTGAAAGAGGAGTGGATGTCCAAAAGTTTGGTGTCGAAATATTTTATAAAACAAATTAAAAATAAAATATTATAAAGATATGATATTGAGATTGGAGCTATGTCCGCCATCCATTCAGAATGAATGATTGGATAGGGAGAAATATACGAGTTTTATGTTGAAGGCGAAGCATGGAAAGCTCTAATCTTTCCAGTCTCTTAACTCTTCATCCCTTTAGTCGTTATCTAGCTTACATCACTTCTGAACGTCATTTTTTTTATTGACAAAGTTTGTATTTATTTGATACATACTGTCTCTCTCTCTCTCAAATGAGTCACAACGCATACGAGCTGTTTTTATTTATGAATTTTGACTTTCACTTTTTCTCCTAAGGTTGTTGTGGGTTGCGTGCTTGGTAAATGAGTTAGAGCAAACTCAAATATGATGAAGCTCAAAATTTCACCACTACCTTTCTTTCTTTCTTTTTTGGTATCTTTGAGTGGTAAGAATCAAACTTGAGATGTACCTCTTTTTTTTTTAGTATATTTAGTGGTAGGAATCGAACTTGAAAGGTAACGATGCTAATCATCCATGGCTAACAGCTCAAGCCCAAACTTGATTCCTAATTTTAACATTATTTTACTTTTAAGCTTCTTTTTTCATTAGGCAACGAATGGAAATGGAATTAAGATCAATACTACTCAGTGTGCTGGAACTCGACCAACGGTAGGACTCATCCCTTGGTCGAGTTGAGTTACACAGTTGAGTAGTTAAGACTCAGCAGGTTCTGTATAGAGCCAAAAGGGTTCAAAAAATTTAGGAAAAGAGAAAAAATATTAAAAAAACAAAAAAAAAAAAAATTACATACAGACATTTTTTCCACCCATTCATTATCAAATGAGTACATTTTCTACATTAATTACCATGACAAGCCCTTTTCTTTTCATACAACTGCCCCACGACGGATAGGGGAAAATACACATGCTGTCAAATGTTTTTTTACAACTATTTATTCATGTAGGAGTACTCTATCTATTTACTCCCTCAGCTAAAATACATTATCTATTTACTCCCTCAGCTAAAATACATGTTAGGGATACCTTTTAGATCTTAAATTTTGGGGATATAAACTTTATAACTTAGAGAATAATTTCAGCAAAAAACATTTTAGAAGCAAACTTTTTACGTACTAAAAACAATAATGCCTCAAGATTGAATGGAGACCATCCAATGCTTAAGGGGCTAGATCAAAGTGCCATAAAACTCAAATTCAACATTTTCTTTTTAAAAATAATCATCTAGTAATTGCTACACGGTCCACGAAATTTTAAACGAAAAAAACAATGTATCTAGGTTTTTTGATAGAGAAATAGATACACAACGTGTTCCGTAAAATAAATAAATAAATAAATAAAAATAACAATGCAATGTATAAAAAACATTTGAAAACATATGTATTTCCCTCCTCTCCAATGCTGTAATTGTCAAAGAAGCGGGCAGTTGTGGAAAAAAAAGCAGGGCGGCCAAAGGGGTGGTCATATATGCAGAAAATGTACTCATTTGATAATAAATAGATGGAAACATTTCTCGAGAAGAAATAATGAAAGTGAAATGAAACCTAAAACAACTTTAAAAAATTATAACAAACTTAAAAAAAGTAGAGAAAATTAAATTAATAATATATTTTCACAATTTGAGATATTTAAAAAATAGTGATTAGGGCAAAAAAAGAAAAAAAAAAAAACTCTCACCAATCTTTTTCAAATACATCTAAATCTTATAAAACAATAATTACCTCGTAACTTAGGAAGCAGAAAAACACAAGGGAGAGAGGTACGTCATAATTGAGATAGAATTTAAGTAACGAAGCACGCGAAGAGAGAGGGAGAGACAAAACCGGAATTTGGGTCTCTAGTTAATTAATGTGGAGAGAGATAGAACTTGGGTCTCTTGTTAATTAATTGAAAGAGAGAGAGTTTTAGGGAGAGGGAGATCCGGAATTTGGGTCTCTTGCTAATTAATGGAGCGAGAGAGAGATTCAGGGAGAGGGAGATCCGGAATTTGGGTCTCTAGTCAATTAAGAGAGAGAGAGTGTTTCAGGGAGAGCGGGATCCGGAATTTAGGTCTCTATAATCAATGTAGAGTGAGAAAGAAGAGAGAGAGAGACCGAGCGAGTTGGGTCTATTCTCTAATCACTTCTTTTATCTAGAGAGAGAAAGCAGTGTAAGAAAAATCCATATTCAAATTTTGACCGATCAGTTATATCAGAACCGGCACTAGCCAATTTGGTTTTATTAATTTTGGTGAACCGATCAGGTATTTTTAAAAATAAAAAATATATAAAATCACAAAAAATAAAATATTTTGTTTTTATGGTAATTTTAATGTTTTTCATCATTTTCGTGAAGATTGAAAATTGATTTGCTCATTAACACTTATTTTTACATTTTTCCATCTTTTTTGAAAAATTTTAAACATACCCATGTGCACAAATTGATTCTTTAAAGTCCATTTTTTCATTAATTTTCAACTTCATTTGGATGTATTTTATTTAATCATAATTTAAATATATTTTATATCTTATTAGAATTTTTTGTGTATTTCTTTTAAACACATTTTTTACCACCAAGGACTTGCCCAATTAGGCCGGTTGAACCAGCCGGTTTACCAGTTAGGTCGGTTGAACCGCTTCCAACCCCATGTCGGGTTAACCATTCCGGTTGGAACTTTCCTACACAGTGAAAGAGAGATAGATAGAAATTGGGTGTGTAGTTAATCCAGTCACTTCTTTATCCGAAGAGAGATAGAGAGTGAGATTGGGTGTGTAATTAATCTAATCGCTTGTTTATCTAGGCTGGGTTGGAGGCCATTCTAGATAGGTGTAGATAGAGAGAATACAAGGAATGGAAAAGTAAAAGGGCATTTGGATTCATTTTCATATAGCTTTTTTACCAATTAATTGGAGTAAACTACATGAATTTTAGTTCTTCAGTATGCTCATCATAATTTTTTATCAATTAATTGGAATAAACTACATGAATTTTAGTTTGCATAATTTTTACTAATGAATTGAAGTTGGCTATCCGAATCTTAGTTCGTCGTTCTGCTCTACTAAAAACTATATCACCAATTAATTGAATTTGACTATCCGAATCTTAGTTCGTCGTTCTGCTCTATTAAAAACTATAACTTCAATGCGACAATCAGTCCTTCTGATCGGATGGTGAACTCTAAAATGCACTCGTCATTTTTTTAATTTTATATATTCTAAAACAAATCCCCAATTGCCATAAGAGGCCAATTATTTTTCCTAATAAAAAATATTAAAAAATTATAAAGAGAGAAAAAAAAATAGGGAGAATAAAAGTAGTCGGCCCCGGCTGATCATTTGCCGATGCGGCCCCAACACCAACTTCAAAACAATCCAGCAAGCACATGCTACGCCTATTTAAACCCCACTCCCCATTCCAAACCTGCAACTATCAAATCAAAGTCTCTTCAACTCATTCTTCAACTCATTCATTCAAGACTTCCTTTTTCTCTCTAAAACTCTCTCTCTCTCTGTTAACTCTCTATCTCTGATTCTCATCTCTCATTGGCTCCCCTTCAAACGAAAGGCCATGGACACGCACACTTTCTCTCTCATTATCTACTTGTTTATCTCTCTCTATCTCTACATAATCATCATTTTAGCAAAAAGCTTGTTTCCCGTGTTCTCATTGGATCAGTTCATATTAACTTCTCTCAATCTTGAGCCTAAAACTCAACTCAAGAAACCCGAGAAACTTCATTCCAGCCTCAGAGAAAATATTCTCTCTACCCAAGTACCAGGAGTTTCTCTCTCTATTCTAAGCCCAAGAATGAATCTCTCTCTCTCTAGAACACTAGAATCCCTGAAATCTCTCTTCCTGAAAACAACACTCATTCTTCCTACTTCCACGATTCAAGAACTTTCTCTCTCTAGAATCCCAACCAAAAAACACTCACTCTCTCTCTCTAAAATCCCAGAATCCCAAGTACCAGGGTGCCTGGTTCTCACAAAAATCTTAAGCCTTAACAGCAATAAAAAATTTGAAACCAGTATCAAAACAAAGAAGACTAGCATTTTTCACTCTCTAGAATCAACAAGCTCTCTCTGTAGAATCAGCAAAGACGAGATGGATCGTCACGGGCATGCGATCTCGAACCGACGGTGCGTGTGGGTGAACGGCCCGATCATTGTTGGGGCGGGGCCGTCTGGGCTGGCAGTGGGTGCCTGCTTGAAGGAACAGGGGGTCCCGTTCGTCATCTTGGAGCGCAGCGACTGCATCGCATCCCTCTGGCAGCGCCGCACCTACGACCGCCTCAAGCTCCACCTCCCCAAGCAATTCTGCCAGTTGCCCCGCCTCCCATTCCCCGACGATTTCCCGACATACCCCTCGAAGAACCAGTTCATCTCCTATCTTGAGGAATATGCTCGTCATTTCGACCTCGCACCAAAGTTCAACGAGTGCGTGCAGTGGGCGAGGTTCGACGACACCTGCGGGCTCTGGCGTGTGTGCACTGCGAACCAGGGGAAGGCTTCATATGGTGGGGAGGTGGAGTATATAGCGAGGTGGCTTGTGGTGGCCACCGGGGAGAATGCGGAAGCGGTGGTGCCAGACTTGGAAGGGTTAGGGGGATTTAAGGGCAAGGTTTCACACGTTTGCGAGTACAAGCAGGGGGCAGTGTATGGTGGGGACAGGGTTTTGGTGGTCGGGTGTGGGAATTCAGGGATGGAAGTGTGCTTGGACCTCTGCAACCACGACGCAAAGCCGGTCATGGTGGTTCGATCATCGGTAAGCTTGACATCTCTCTCTCTATCTCCCTCTGGTTCTTTTGAAAAAGTTCTCTCTCTTAATTCTTGGGGTTTTTCTTTCTTCTCACTCTTGATTTGTGGGGAATTTTTTTTTTTTGCTGAGAGGGACAAAGCTCTATCTCTCTCTGTTCTTTTGCTGTGAGTGTGTTGAGTTTTTGCTTTTTATTCAAATTTATTCTATTAGTTGGGTGCTTTCTATCTCTAGACCTTTTTTTCTTTTTCTTTGTACTCTTTAGTTATTTTTCCTTTTCATCTACTTTTTGCAATCACTTGGCTTCCTTTCTGTTTCACTCTCGTTTTTTAATGAGAAATTTGGGATCTTTTTATTGGGTTCTTTTGCTTTTTTATTTGTTTTTTGTTTTTTAGTTTTGGTGATGTTAGTGGATTCATCGCTTCGCTGCTTTGTTAAGTTTCTTTCAGCACTTCAGTTGCCTTTGGATTCTTCCTCTTTGTCTTGTTCTGTTTGTTCTCCCCTGTTCTCTCTCTCTTTCTTTCTCTCTCCTCCTTTGACTTTAAAGGTCCCTTCACTGGGTTCAGTTATTTCTGGTAATTTAGTTTAACTATAAGTTAGAGAGAGAGTATACACTTTACTGATGCATCTTTCTTCTCTCTCTCATCAGGTTCATGTGTTACCAAGAGAAATCCTTGGGAAATCAACGTTTGAAACCGCAGTTTTCTTGAAGAATGGCTCCCACTCTGGCTCGTTGATAAACTCCTCTTGATTTTGGCCTGGTTAGTGCTCGGAAATGTCGAAAAGTACGGTCTGAAACGCCCGGAAATCGGCCCCCTTCAGCTCAAAAACGCCATGGGCAAGACCCCTGTTCTTGACATTGGGGCCCTCGGCAAGATAAAGTCCGGCGAAATCAAGGTGGTGCCAGCTATTAAGCGATTGGATTCGAACTCTGTCGAGTTTGTTAACGGAGAGAGGGTGGAGGTCGATTCCGTGATCTTCGCTACCGGATACCGCAGCAATGTGCCTTATTGGCTACAGGTTAGAAACCCCATCAAAATGATCTCATATTTTGCTTCCCTCTCTAACAGTTATTTGAATTTGGATTGACAAGTGGGTATTGACATTGTTGGGTTCATTTGATTTTTACAGGAATGTGATTTCTTTTCGAAGAATGGGTTTCCAAAGAATCCATTTCCCAATGGTTGGAAGGGAAAGTCTGGTCTGTATGCTGTGGGTTTCACGAGGATAGGACTCTCTGGTGCATCAGTGGACGCCATGAAAATAGCTCAAGACATTGGCAAAATGTGGAAAGCTGAAACCAGACAAACCAAACAGTTCAATGCCTGTCACAGGAGATGCATCTCTCAGTTCTGAGAGTTTTCCCTTTCCCCACTGTAATTCTTGGGGTTTTCATCCTTTTCCATTGTTGAAATCAAAGAGAAAGAGGGAAGGGAAAAGAAACCAGTGAAAAAGACCTGTGTACAATAGTGTACAGAGAGAAGCCCAAGTTTTGACAGGGAATGGGCAGGTGTAGGTGGTGTACAAGGGGTGTATAGGTGTAGAGAGAGAAAGTATAGGAGAAAACAGAGGCCAGGAAATTTTGGGCTTTTTCTTTTATATTTTCTTTTTATTGGTTTTTGTTGAAATATTTGTATACAAAGAAATTTTGGAAGTTACAAGATAATTTTCATGGACATATATGGCGCTTTTGGATCTTCGGGTTGGTGGATGTTTGATTGCACTTGGGTTGATTTATTGGAATATTAAAAGATGGAGTTATGGGTACTGTGAAAATTAGGTTTGAAACCTTGGGCATCAATTTGGTTTGGTACAAGATGGGATATGTTTCTTTTCCGTTTTTATTTGCCAAAAATAAGTGTTTAATAATGGATTTTCCAATGATTACTGTGGACCAGAGAGAGAGAGAGACTCATATATGGGACAAGTATATAATACGGAAAAAGTTTGTATAAGGTTGCAATCATAAAATATAGAACTAAGGTGAACTTCAAAAATCCCTTGGAAAAAATTATTTTAATATTGAAAAACCTTTTTATTGATCAGCTCAACGTTGAGATGCATGAATATATATATATATAAAAAAAAGCTTTGAATCCAAAATATAGTGTATCTTGCAACATATTATTTGGACGGTTCATTTTCAAGATTTTCATATGTTTATAGATATTCACGATGCTGATCAAGATGATATTATGATAATGATCGACCATATCTGAACCACAAAGTTGTTATTTTAAGAGTGATAGAGAATGGGGACAATCAAATTTTGATATAAGGCCAAATCTACTAAAAAATAAGCAGATCTGATCTCAAATCAATAGCAGAGTCAACATTGATCAGAAATACGGAATATTACATAAAATACAATAAAATTGATTTAATACTAATAAATAAACAAAAACTAAAAGAAAATATAGGAAAGATTAAAATATACTAGACCATGCCAGTTGACATGGGACTCTCGAGGCCTCGCCCGTATCAAGATTGGAGTAAGTTTCTATCGTGTGTTCTCTTTGTCTCTCTTCAGCTTTTGACCAAGCCTTGGCTTGGTTGAACTAGGGTTTTTCTGATCTAATGATGAAGTTCGATTCAAAAGGGGTTAGGGTTTCAAAACTACTTTCCTAGATCTAGGGTTTTGTCTTAAGTTTCACAATCTCAAGGTTTTTTGGCATATCGGTTTTCATAGTCCAAGAGTTTAAAAAGTCTAACCCTAAAATCGTACCAAAATGGGTAATCCAAATCGTACCAAAATGGGTATCCAAAAATCAACCAATTTGACAGCTCAAACTGTTGTTTTTGGGTAAAAAGATATGGGCAACACCACGGGGTCTCCCAGGCCAAGGGGTCCTTATTCAATGAATCTGCCCAAAAATGGTCAAGGAATGGTCAGTATGCAAAAGCTGTCATTTCGGGCTACTCTGGGCTAGGCAACACCGGTGATCAAATCTGCTCATACAGGGTAGATTCCAGTTCTAGGGTGATTTTTAGGCCCTTGATATGATAACTGCTAAAAATCACGCCATTCGGGCCAATCTAGGCTGGGCGATGCCAAATCTGCTCAGAATTAGCAGAATCCAGTCTGGGGTGATTTTTGGCTCTTGGAATGCTGCTGCCTGCCAAAAATCACAGAATTTGGGCCAGTTTGGGCTCGGCGACAGCAGTGGTATCTCCCAAAGCAAATCTGCCTAAATTGGTAAAATCCAGTTTTAGGGTGATTTTCAGACTCTTGAGATGCTGACTACAAAAAATCATGCAATTTGGGCCCATTTGAGCTTGGATGACACCACTGGTGTCTCCGGACCAAATCTGCCCAGAATTGGCAGATTCCGATTCTAGGGTGATCCAAAGGCTTATGTGATACTGTCTGTCAAAAATCAGGTAAATATACATGATTTTGTTATTTTTATTTGATTTATTACCAAAACAAACTGTCATGTAGGATTTTGGATCACAAAGCAGACAATATGGACTATTATGGTGGTCTATGGTCCAGGGGTTTACTGGGATAGTGTCGTCTTAAGGTTGTTTAAGGTTTAGAAAACTATTGAATTTGCCAGTTTCAAACAATAAATCTACTTGATTTGAACTATTTTTTAAGTTTAAAATTTTATAATGAAAGATAAAAATATATTTTTCAGGCTATCCCAAAAAATTGACACTACGAATATATGTTATAATAAAATTTGGAGATGCGCCTTAATTTGATTGTTTAAGGTTACACACATTGCGTATGATTATATCCTGTGATAGAGAATTACAATTCAATTCAAGGGAAAATACTAGCACATCAATTGAACTAAGGTTAATATGTACCATCCAATGTTGAGGGTGATGAATCAAATGTGTGTTATTCTGAATGTGTCTATGGTGTACATAGAAGAATAATAAATTAAAAAAAAATAGATGAAAATAACCCTAAAAAACTAGAAATCTAAAAGAATCCCAAACCTAAAATATAAAAAATAGTAAAATGAAAAATTAAAATACCCATTAATATCATCCTTTCGGGGTTGTGAGTAAGTTGACGTTAAGCTTATTGAATTAAGCATATCTCTAGAGGCCATTTAATAATTGGTGATGTGATTCCGCCATTGATATTTAACTTATATTGGAACTTTAAAGTACCAAACTTAATCTTGATTTCACTTTTGAGCTCAAAGGCTAGTACTTCATACACGGCAACTAGCATCTCTTTGCCTTAATAATTAATTATCAAAATTTGTAGCACTTTTAGGTCGGTGTCAACTTTTTTTGTACTGAGAGTTACCTCTTCTCATTCATATTCCTCATGTTACAATCGATTAAGTTGATCCTGTAGATCTCGTTATACTACTTTGCCAATACTTTCTATGATGTTTTTCTAAGTCTCTCAAATATCTGATCTAATCGATCCAAGCGCTCCATAATTGAATTGGTAGATGTTTGTGATACCAATCCATAAAGGAAGAGCTCTGATACCAATAGATGTATGAAGAACTCTGATATCAATTAGTCAAATACTTTATGGGGAACTTGTGGAGTTTTGGCATGTCCAACATTATTTTAATGTTTCTTTCAAATTCCTTATGAACCTTTAGTAGACCGTCCTTGATATCGAGATCACATGGATGTTCCTCATGTCATGATTCTTGCCTCAAAATTTGCTCATTACATATAGGATCATCCATTGGAGTTGGTAGTCGAGCTTGATTAATCCCTAAGGTAACATTTGGTGTCGGATCTACCTAGTGCAAGCACTCTCTTCTCAATAAATAATATTTTGAAATCATTTCAATCGTTGATTCACTTTGCTTATCTGCGTTTTGAGAGCCAAAGTCTTGTGCACCCCGAAGGTTGTCATTCCTGATAGCTTGGTCCTCGAGTTCAATAATGAGTTTTTTAAGGTTTCCATCAGCATTGAGACTTCCCCCAATCCCACTCAAGCGACCTTCCTGAGGTCCTCTTCTCCTTCGATGGCTCCCTCTAAGGACAAAGCAGTCCTTTCAAAGTCTGATAAGGAACCAGTATGAGAGGAGGAAGAATGGCACACAACTACTAAAAAGATAAAGAGGCAACAACTATTTCAAAAGTTCAAACGTGACAAAAATGTGGTACAAAAGGTGTGGAGGATGAAGGCAGGCCCCTTCCTATGACAAGTGTTTGTCCAAGGATTCGTTAACGTAGTTCTCTCCCCAAAAGGACAAGTTCAACAAATGACAAGAAGGGCAAATGGCCTTTTCTCGATGTGTCTAGTCCTTTCTTGCCTCTTGGGCAATAGGAGAGATGTCCAAATCCAGCCTTCCACCTGTTCATCCTACAGGTGAGACGATTCATATTCCTCTAGGTTATGAGCTTCGAGATCTTTTGCAGCCCATCCGGTAGATTCTTCAGTGGGTATTTTAAGAAGGTCCAAGCCATCGTGCTATGTGGAAACACTCAAGCCTTCAAGGTTTGATCTAATGACGAGGTTGCCTTCTTCGCATCCCAAGAAGCTGCTATCTATCGCCCACCGAGGGACTCACTTCCTAAAGGTACGTATGTCATGTCCTCACCTTTTTCCTTTAAATAGTAGTTCTTCGAAAGAGGAAGCCCCAAAAAATCTTCTCTGGTTCTTTCGTTTTTCTGCTGCTTCCGTCTCCTTTGCCAACCGAACAGTCAATCCTCCCCCTTCCAAGGCCCCCCAAAGCATCACCATCACTGAACTATCCCAAGAACAGAACCATTGATATTATTCATCTGACTTTCGCTCTAGAGATTCTCGACGGGACAGCCAAAATGACTTTCTTTGAATGGGATAAAAGTCGTGCATGGGGCCACATTATTGTGTCTCTATGCTATCTACTGAGGCCAAAGCCTTTGACCTCCCAAAAACTCTCTTTATCGCCTTCTCCCCTTACATCCCTCCCCTTCTCATAACTGAGTCCTCCGATTCTTCTTCCCCGCACTCGCAACTAGCTCCCTAGCAAAGATGAGAAGATGAAAGTTATTCGAGAGAAAATGGGCCATTTGATCAATGCTATGGGATTTCAGTACAAAGGCACTCTTAAGGTTGTGGAGGAAGCTCTTGATGTTGCTGAGGTAGAGTGGTCGGCCCTCCCTATGCCACAGCGCGTTCGCTCTCGTCCGGAGAAAGAGGCTGAAGCTCTAGTTGCCAAGGTTTCATTTGACCCCTTATTGTTGGCTCCTCCGGAGTCACTATGGTCACCAGGGGGTAAGGACTTCACGTCCTCGTGAAACTCATCTCATAGAATGTTAGAGGCCTGGGGGAACTTTGAGGAGAAGAGATTTAATCCATAAGTTGCAAATTTTAGTTCTTCAGGAAACCAACCTTCTCTCCCCTGATGTCTCTTCTTTGCTCTTTTTGGGGCTCTACCCCCTTAGATTTTCTTTTATCAGTTTTTGTTGGTGAATCTGGTGGCCTACTTGTAATTTGGGATCCCTCTCTTGTTAAGGTTCCATTTTCTCCGTCTCTTTTAGGTGCATGTCGATCACCTTTTCTTTTATGGGGTCTTCAGACCAGTGGTTGATCAGTAATGTATATGGCCTCAATCTCAGTAATGAAAATTTTGCTTTTTTTTTGAAATTGAGTTCGGTTGTTTCTCGGTGACAGTTGCCTTGGTGTGGGGCTGGTTATTACAACCAGGGGCGATACCCCTCGGAATATAGTGGTAGAAATTGATTTATAGTAGATATGACCC